AAAGCCTCATCTTTCTCCCGCGGAGCGGCTGGTAGTTTCGAACCGCTGACCTTAAGGTTCACAGCCCGATTCGTAACCACTACGCTACCAGAGCTCCATATATATATATATATATGTATAATCATGTAAACATGTAAACAGCCAAAGGGCACATTCTGCAAGCCACCAGCACACAGCCTTTCTCTTTCCATGAGTCTAGAGTCCTCAGCTGCTCTCGTTCTCTATGCCCACATCACTGTCTTCTTCTCTGGTATCGCTATTTCTCTGGATAGGGTCCCTTGATGGCCCTAGAATCCTCTGTACCTGGACTGTAAGATTAACTACTTCACCCTTTATATTACAAAACTTCTACTTTTATAGTTGTGACCATCGCAATTAGTCATGATAACAATTATTCACTATTGAATCATAAGGTCTCTTTTCATCAAACCCATCTAGACACTATGAATACTAATCAGTGGGGATTCTACCTTCCCCCACACACTTTGAAACTAAACACCCTCTTGAAAATATGTAAGCCAGTCACTTTGTGCCGTTATTGCCCTCCCATTTTAGGTAGCCAATGTCTTAAGTTGCCCGTCCCTATCAACCCTGTATACAGAGGAGATAGGATTAATCCTTGATGTGAAGACTGTACGCTCTCAGTTGGCATTTTGAACTACTACATCTATAAGTATAGGTCAAGTTTGTCAAATTATAGCAATTTATACTTGTTTTCTTTGTCAAAAAAACAAAAAAATTTTTTAGTCTTCCTCTTGTTGAGTTCTGATTTAAAATAACAACAAAACATACACTAATGTGCCTTGCACCCAATTTGAGAAATATTGAATTTTCAATCCTTCTATTTCCAGGATCTTCTCCAATATAGTGAATTTATTACACATGAAATAGCAGTGTTGATTATTTATGACCTTTTGATAATAGTGGAGAAGCTACACAAAGCAGAAATAGTCCATGGTGACTTGAGTCCAAGAAGTCTAATTCTTAGAAACAGGTTGGTCCTTTTCATTCTCTTAAAATTCTGTCAGCATGGATGTTGTTGTATAAGGTTTGTGAGGAGTGGCTAGTGGATTTGAATTGCTGACCTTGTTGTTAGCTTACCCTATAGTGCCACACCAGGAAAGCATTTTATTAATGTTTTATAATAAATGCCATATGGATGAACACAAGTTAAGAGAATATTTGCTACCTAACAGTCATAGGGAATAGTTTAAACTAATTCAAAGAAAAGTGCAACTCTCCTTTTGATCTCTCCCTGTCTGGAAGAATGAAGAAAATCAAAGACACATGGAAACAGTTTGTCCAGTGGACTAGTGGACTAATGAATAATGAACATCAGTCTCCAGAGTCCTGAGACCAAAATAACTAGATGGTACCTGGCTACCACTCTCAGTTGCTCTGAGAGGGATCACATTAAAGGGCATTGAATAGAATAGGAGAAAACTGTGGAACAAAACTCAAAAAGATCAAGCTTACTGGTTAGATAGAGACTGGTGGGATCCCCTAGATTATGACCCTTAATTACCTTTCACATCTGGAAATGAACTCACCCCAGTGCCTCGAATTTCAGCCAAACAATAGACAGGACTACAAGAGCAACCCTAATACTAGTGAGGTATGAACATGTTAGAATAATCAGCCATTGGAGATCAAAGGACAGCATTTAACCAAGGGGAAATGGAAACAGGAAACTCAGGGAGAAAGTGGGATAAGTGATGTTACACTGTGGGGATGCAACCAATGACATGAATGTATATGAACTGTTGAATGGGAAACTGATCAGTTCTGTAAACCTTTACAGAATTTTTGAGTGGGGCTGCACCAATCTAATGAGGATGTTCCCAAAACTGAGACATTGGACCAAAGCTTAGAACAGACCAGATTGAAGTGGGTAAATGTATACCATGCTAAAAGAAGGAGCTTAATGTGTGATTCAACCCACTGTGGCTTTCAGGTTTAAGAGGTAAACACAGAGCAGAGAACTAAGAAATGAAGCTAAAACATAAGAACAGGAAACTCAGGAAATATTGAGAAAGGTATTAGACTGAGATGGCCCAAGATTTTGGTTTTGTGAAAAGGACTAGTGGACCAATGATCTTTTATGTGATCACTTGTCTTATGGTTTACAGATGCTTTGTGTCTTTTGTAAACATAAATTAACATTTTAATAACTAAGATAATTTTTTACATTTTTCCTGAGTATTTAATGTGTTAGAGGAGACTGAATTAGTCTCTGAATTATAGTTGATATAGAGTTTGAGTACCCTCGATGTATGTTTACATTTGTAGTCAAAATACAGAATCCTACCTTTTTTTCTAGTATAGCAGACTCCTGAAGGTTCCAACTCCAGCAACCTGCATAGGGTTTCCGAGGAGCAGCTAGTGGGTTTGAACTGCCTGACCTTGTGGTTAACAGTCCAGTGCTGATCGTACAGCACCATACCAGGATTGTTCCTCTAGCAAGCGAATACTGAGAAATTTGTCTTCAAATTCAGTAATTTGACCTTCCATTGGTTCAGTTCTACTTCTTTGCCCTCTCAATGTACTACCTATTTCTGAAGTCTTAGTATTAAGCTCTTGACTTTCGAATTGCTGTTTTTGTATGGCTTTCAGAATTTCATTTGTCAGTTTGTTTTCTGAACTCTTCTAAATTTCTGTTTGTGTTTTCCTTGATTTCATCTGCAATTTTTGCAGTGATTCTCTCAGTCTATTGAAGGTATCAAAAATTCTTTTTTTGATTCCAACTCATGGCAACCTTATGTGCTTTATTTATTTTTCTTTAAGTTTTTATTATGGATTGAGTGAAAGTTTATAAGACAGATCATCAGTTTTACATTCAATAAATCATACAACTTGTTTCATCACAATGATTACAATCCCCTCCATGTATCATCAGTTAACAGTATTTCTCTCTATTCACTTTAGCTCTTTTTTTTTTTAAGCACTCAGACATATAATTTACATCACAAAGGGCACATATTGCAAGTCTGCCTCCTGGCCACTATTTCTTAGTCTCTCTCTTCCCATGAATTTAGAGCCCTCAGCCGCTCCCCCTCTCCATGTCCATATCTTTGCCTCCATCTCTGGTGTTGCTGCTTCTCTGGATAAGGTCCTGCATTCTGCTTGTGCTCTTCTCCCTGATGGGATCCTAGAGTCCTTTGTTTCTAGAGTCCTTTGTTTCTGGACTGTAAGGTTAACTGTTCCCCCATTTTTGTTACAAAACTTCTACCTTTACAATTGTGACAGTCACAGTGAGTCATGATAACAATTACTCACTATTGAATCATAAGAATCTTATCCCCATCTCTTATAACCAGACCCATCTAGACAAGATGAAAACTATTCAGTGGGGACTCTTTCTTACCCTCCACGCTCTTAAACTAAACTCCCTCTTGAAACCTTGTAAGCCAGTCACTTTGTGCCTTTATTGCCCCCTCATTTTAGGTAGCCAATGTCTAAGTTGCCTGTCCCCATCTACCCTGATACTTAATGTGAAGACTCCTTCCCTCTCTGTTGGTATTTAGAGTTACTACCTCCATGAGTATAGGTCAGGTTCATCAAATTGTAGCAATTTACTCTTGTTTCCTTTATCAAAAATTGATTTTTTTGTTTTTTTATCTTCCTCTAGTCGAATTCTGATTATCAAGCCATTGAGGCTAGGTCAAATGGTTACTAGTTTGGGTATTCTTGTATATATCACCTTTACTTCATATCATCTGGATGCTTCACTCTCAGCTCTAGCCCTCTGTGGCTATGTCTTTGTCCATGGGCTCATGTGTCCCCAGGTCTTACCACACTTTGGACCAACCAGCCCTTCCTCTTCTTTCTCTCATCTCCAGGTCAACAGGAGTCAATGGACCATGGTTGAACTCAGCCCATTTCTTCATTGCTGCTTTTCCCCCTCTTCCACTCACCAGTAGACCATTGTGGTTGCCAACAAGCTTACATGCTTGCTTTTGTGTTCCCTTTGAGTTTCCGTCTTAGAGGGGGGTTTATCCTGAAGGAACTTGATTGCTAGCCTTAATGACTTCCTGGTGAACTGCTTGCCTATTCTTATAGTAGCCAGTCATACTGCCATTTTTGTTTTGGGTTTTTCCTGATGATTTTTCTTTGAAGATGTATTTTCGGTCGCTCAAGCTGTTCCAATCTGGTCAGCTTGTCCCTTCTAGTGGGAATGTGCCACCTCAGAAGATTCTAGATGGGACTCAGGATTCCACCTAAGGTCCTATACTCTGCAAAGGCTCGACAAGAGGCCTATTTCACTGGGCAAGTTCTAGAACCCCTTTTAGATGTCCCAATCAATTATAGGCTGAAGACGGGGCTTACAAGTTTTCTGTAATCTTATTTTCCCGACATTCCTTTCTATCCCACTCAAGTGTCTATTTTACAATAGTAGGCAAGGGAAACCAATATTCATAAGACAATCAAGCATCTTAGTATTATTTTCCCTCTCCAAACTATGCCTAGATCTCTATATCACAGAGCCCTGTTGTTCAGGGTTGAGCATGCATCATTATTTACCTCTGTCCCACTTAGGCCATGCAAACCTGTCTCGGTGTTCCCCTATCTACCTTGTTCTTCCACCACATCCTCCTTCTTGTATTGCCCTCCCCAACACCTGAACTATGACGTATCTGCCCTTACCCTGTGCTCCACTGTTGCCTCCCTCCACCTTCCCCTAAAACCCCCACCCCAACCCCAAACCGTTGTTGTTTCCTTATATTCCATTAACTTTTCCCTCCATTTAAGACAGACTATCCTGTAATCAAACTGACCTTCTCAACACCTGGGTCTCTGTTCCTCTGTGTTTACCTTCTTTCACACTGTAATTGTTTTGAACATAGACTGACCTTCCAGATCCTCTGAATTTGTTCGTATAGTTTTATTCTGTTCTTGACTCTTCCATTTGTTGATTGAATTCTGGGTGATACTGCCATTTACATCAGTCTCTGGTTGTTGTCTGTTCTTGTTGGTTCTCAGTCCACAGAACTTCCTTTAGGATGTTTTTCATAGCAGGGTTCACTTTGACAAAATCCCTTAGCTTCTGTTTATCCTGGAATGTTTTGATTACACCGTTGTATTTGATTGACAGCTTTTCTGGGTACAGGATTCTTGGTTGGCAGTTTTTTCTTTCAGGGTTTTATATATCTCTACCCATTGCCTTCTAGCCTGCATGGTTTCTGATGAGAGATCCGAGCTTAATCTGATTTGCTTGCCTTTGTGTGTTATATTTCTCTTTTCCCTAGCTGCTTTCAAGATGCTGTCCTTATCTTTGATTTTGGAGAGCTTGATTATGATATGTCTTGGTGATTTTCTTTTAGGGTCTGCCCTTCCTGGGGTTTAGTGAGCTTCTTGAATGCTTATCTTTTCACTTTTCAGGATGTTAGGAAAATTTTCTTCCAGAAGCTCTTCAACTATCTCCTCTGTGCACTGGTGTGATTCTTCCAGTTCCAAATGCCGATAATTCTTGTTATTCCTCTTCATGTTTTCCAACATGAATCTTAGACCCTCTTCAGATTTCTTTATCCTTTTTTGTGCTTGCTCTTCTGTCTTAGTGGTATTAAGAGATTTATCTTCCAGCTCACTAGTTCTGGCTTCCATTTCTTCAATTCTATTCCTTTGCCCTTTTAGTGTATTGTCCATTTCTGCTATTCTATTATTAATCGTTTGGACCTCTTTCTGTAGGTTTTGAATTGTTTCCAATGCTCTATCTATTTTATTTGATTGTTCCTGTAGTGCTCTTCTGACTTCTTCCTTATTTTTCTCAACTCCATTGTAAAGTGTTTTGATACATTTTATAATCATTTTTCTGAATTCCTTCTCAGGCATTTCCAAAGCCTGCCCATCTTCCAGTATGGAGTAGAGGTCTACCTCGAGCTCATTTGTTTCAGTCACTTTATCTTGTTTCTGGACTTGTGGTGATACGATAATCTGTTTCTGTTTTTTGGGGCATATTCATAAGTTATCTGTGGCCTTAGTACTTAGATGGGTGTGTGTTTTGGTATTTTTTATGCTTTCTGATTGCCTCCAGGTATATGTGATCAGGAGATGGGCTTCCCTTTTCACTCTTCTTCCCAAGAAATTTCAAGATGCCCCTGTTGGTCATTATGACGTAACTCAGGATTTAATTTTTAGCCTGTTTCCTTTTTAGTCTGCCTGTCTGGCTACACAACCCCTGTTCAGGCCTTTTTCCTAATGATAAAAGTTCAGGGTCAGCTGGGGCCGTTTTGCGCTGCCATTTGGTTTTAAGTGGAAACTGGTCCTTTAAATTTTGAGGAGATCTGTGTACATGCGTAATAAAACCCTCCAAGGATGGGGGTGGGGTAGCCACTCACTCGTGGGGTATCCCTCTATTCATCAGAATGGAGGTGTGCAGACAGCGAGAGACCAGTGAACAGATAGAAAAAAAGGAATGTCCACACCTTTATCTCTGCCATTCTGTCAGGCGTCTATGGCTACTCTGATCCTTCCCCTGTTCTGTCTTGCCCAAGATGGCAGCTTAGCGAGCAGCTGAGTGTCTTGGATTAGAAAGCACTGGATTTCTTACTTCTGCTACAGATTCCACTGGCATTAAGCCGTCCAACTTTCTAAATATTCCTTTATATGTGATTCAGAGTTCTGGGACCATTCCCTGAGTCTGCTTGGTCCAGTATTCTGGGTTGATGCTGAAGGAGCTCCTCACTGCATATCCACCCAATCCGCCATCTTGTTTGTTCTCCTCTTTTAAATTCTTGATGAAGTAGTTCTGATATCATTTCTAGTATATTTTTTTATTCTGTATTTTGGTCTCTTGTTTGAGGCATTCTGTCTTGTTTCTTTGTGTAAGCTGATGATATTATCATTTTCTCTGAGACATTGTAGTGTTTTATTTATATTTACTTGATGGTTGTATGTTAGTGTGTTCTCAGGTACTCAACCATCTTTGTCCTGGTTGTTGTTGTTGTTGTTAAGTGCCGTTGAGTCTATTCCAACCCATAGTGACCCTGTATAGGGTTTCCAAGGAGCAGCTGATGAGCTTGAACCACTGGCCTAGCAGTTCAAACAGCTTTGCAGTCTGGCACATTAACCCACAGCGCCATACCTGATAGATGTGATAAAGACTGGAAATGTGAACGCAATTCTCTGTTTGCTGTTTGTATCATGGCTCAAGAAGCAGGAGTGATTTGCCTGGCACCGGACCTCAGGCCAAGCAGAGGCAGGAGGAGATGCCCCTGGCTGTTGAGTTGGTGAGGGCTGCAGGGTATTTTCGATCCCTCCCTCCTTCCTTAACTTCCTTCTTTTACTGCAAATAACATTCCCCCAGCCATTGTGACCACCAGAAATCTCCCTATGTGTTTACAAATGTGAGAACCTCTGTTAAGTTTTTCTTTTCACCCTATTTCACAGCACTGAATGTTCAGAAAGAAGGTAGTGTTAGAATTCTCAAAGGGATTTCCTAGTCCTTTTTCAGATTTGGCATTTACACTCTGTTTCAGATACTCACACTCAGCTGTCTGGGACTCTAGGAAAACATGCAGTGTTAAAGGAAATTGCCTTTCCCTTCTCAGTACTTATAAAACTTGATAGGAAATTTCTATAGATTCACAAGAAATTAAAAGCCTTTGAAAATCATTTAAGCTACCTGTCATTTGTGTGGAAACTGACATTTAAAAAGTAGAAATATCTTGCCCCTGGTAAGAGAGTTAATGGTCAGTTATTGTTAAATGCCGTCAAGTCGGTTCGTGGCGCTGTATAGGGTTTCTGAGGATTAGCTGGTGAGTTTGAACTGCTGACCTTGTGGTGCACAGTCCAGTGCTCATTCTACAGCACTACAGAAGGAGTCCAATGGCCAATTTGTTGTTAAATGCTGTCATGTCTGTTCCGACTCATAGCAACCCTGTATTGGGTTTCCAAGGATTAGCTGGTGAGTTTGAACTGCTGACATTGCGGTTCAAACAGATCTTGAGGTTGAGTGCTTATTCTACAGTGCTACACCAGGAGAGCTAGAAGATGTCCCAGGTTCTGTTTATTTATCTAAGAAATAGTTCACCTCCCTCTTCTAGGTCTTAAAAATACTTGGGAATTAAAGTTTTATGATGTTCTAAGAAATTACAGTTGGAACTTGTTCAAAGGAAATGGGAGCAATTTTTAGTTTTAAAGAAAAACATTGCTCTGTGTTATAGATATTTGTGTCTGGGTTAATCAAAGTCTGTATGTAGGAATGAAGGCTTTGCCACTGATGGAAATCAGTAGTTGGAGAGAACTGGTTAAGAAAGGTGGAGAATTAAAGAGAACACATGATGGAAAGAATCCCTTCTTTTTTCTCCAGTCGATCGATTGATAGCTCCTGTGGCTTCTCTTCTCTCCTCCTAGTCAGGGTAGTTAGTGTGTTAGTGCATGGAGTAGATAAGCCCAGAAAAATACAACTCATTAGTAATTAATTAGTGTTATAAATTATTTCTTAAAAGAAATAATAAAGGTTGGGATTACAGATCATTTAAGAATAAAATAGAATGTGGAATAAGCTTAAAAACAAAAAAACAGGTAATTTTACAGTAGGGTTGCACTTTACCAAAAGATAACACTATTATTTTCAGGTAAATTTTGGGAAGTCTTTAAACCTAATCTTTAATGTTGTTAAGTGCCATCAAGTCAGTTCCGGCTCATAGCAACCCTGTAGTAGGTTTCCAAGGACTGGCTGGTGAATTTGAACCACCAACCTTGTGGTTCAAACTGACTTTGCAGTCTAGTGCTTATCCTACAGCACCACACCAGGACTATAGTATTAAAAAAGAAAGGCTAAGTAAGACCCAGAAAAGCTTCAATTTCTCCATCACAATTCTTGTCATTGTAAAAATCATTGCTGTATGTGTTGATATGTATAGTACAGGGCAGAGAACTGAAGTCTACTTCCAGTTCTTACTTTGTATAATATGGGAACCTGATAAATATTCTGTGGTAACCCTGTACAGTGATTTAGATATACTTGGTGTCACCAAACTAATGAACTAATCTTAATATGACCACAGGTGGTCACAGCCACTGCTGTTACAGGTGTATTTCCTTACTAACCACTAGAGGGAGCTGTTTGTATAGCTAAGACACCTGCAATATCTTTTTTTTTTTTCCCCCTCCCAAAGACCAGCTATGCAGCTTCTTTTCATGTCCTATTTTAATTTCTTTCTCTTAAATCTGGGCTCAGAATCCACGATCCCTATGATTTTAATCAGAAGAATCAAGCTTTAAAGATAGTGGACTTTTCCTACAGTGTTGACCTTAGGGTACAGCTAGACGGTTTTTCTCTCAGCGGCTTTCGGACTGTACAGATCCTGGAAGGACAAAAGATCCTGGCTAACTGTTCTTCTCCCTACCAGGTAAGTGTAAACCAAGCCTGGGTAAATATGGAAAGGGTCTTTCTCCGTTACATAAATGTTTACTGGTATAAGTGACCTAGTTTTCTTGTTAAAACCAACGTACCATTTTTATATCACAACATTGAAGAATACCCATGTACATGTGCAAACAGATGAATAATTCAGTAACCTCAGTGCCGGGCCATTCCTGTCATTTGCCATCAATGAGATCTTTAGTAACCTGTTTTCTGTCATCTTCCTTATAAGAGAAGCATTCTCCTACTCTATGTACATCAGCATTTTTGTGAGGGTTAAATGAAAGAATGTGTATTAAAAAGGACCTTAGGACAAATGGAAAGTGTTAAATACAATGGTATTATTTGCAAAAATTTCTTCTGACTGAGCTCTGGCCACAGGCCATTTGCTAGTCATGGGAGCCACATTTTGAATTTGGCAGCCCAGATATTTTTGTCATCTGAGAAAATCCCTAGAGTTATCTCTTGATCACTCCTTTGTGGAGGCTTCTCCCTTTACTATAAGAATAAGGAACAATCTACTAAAATGTGCCTCATAAAATAAACTTACTTAAACACTCTACCTTTTGACTTCCTTCGCAGATTGGCTGCCATGATAATAGCAAAGAACTATTGTAGCTGATGGTGGTTTTTGTGATTTCAGGTAGACCTGTTTGGTATAGCAGATTTAGCACATTTACTATTGTTCAAGGAACACCTACGGGTCTGCTGGGATGGGTCCCTCTGGAAACTTAGCCAAAATGTTTCTGAGTAAGTATTGGTGACTTCAAGGTCTTTGCCTATGCAAATAATTCTGTTTCTTGTGTTCTTCTGCTTTGGCAGTTATAATTTTCTCAATTCAGTAACATGACTTCAATAATTTCAACCGGTTTTTGTTAGAGTGTTAGTGGGACACCTAGTTCAGAGCTAATTAAAAATAAGACTCAAACAATTCAAACTTTAGGATACCATTCTAGATATTATCACACAGATAGTAGATTTAGTATAGAATAGAAGAAGACTCTCCGTTTAGAAGTGTTAATAGAAACATTTTGTGAGAATGATTTTTTAGCCAGTTGATACTAGTCTTTTCAGTGTAACTGTTGTTACCAAAAGTTAATAAGCATTTCTTGAAGGGAGTTAAAATTTTTAATTATGCAAATTTAGGCTATTATTTATTTAATGCATGTGTAGAATCAAATCAAGAGAACTGAACCTTACTGGTGAAGAAGTAAATGATCTTTTAAAAAGAGCTGCTTGATCCTATAACCTTGGTACTCCCTCCAGCTTGCTCATTAAACTTATTTAATAGCCATGTTCCACTTTAGATTGTTAAAGCTAATGTAGCCTCCTGACATAAGCTTCTCAATGTATCACTAATTGATACAGTCTGTGGTTTCAAAAGGAAAAAAATCCATGTTGAAGATTTAATACCTCTTCTCTTGTTTTCTCCCTCTCAACAATTGAGCCTGTCTTATTTGTCTCATTCACGTGCTATTAAAATTGACTTGAACTATGATGTAAGATACGAATGGTCGATTTGGGTATCTCTGGTTGGCCTCCAGGGCTGGTCCAGATAACACAAGTTAAAACAGGTGGGGTCAGTTGGGGTTTCCTAACAGCCCTGCCTTATATAATAATGGAAGTTTCTCTGATTTAAGACAAAACAAAAATGCAACCATCATCAATTTAAGCAGTAATTATTTTGGTCAAGCTTTAGGATTCTCAGAAGATGGTGTAGATAATTAGTCACTAGGGGGTGATGGGGCGGTGGTGGGGAGGACTGTAGTCTTTTAAATGGCCTTTTGTTAAGTGCTGTTGAGTCAATTCCAACTCATGGCAACCCTGTTTAGGGTTTCCGGGAAGTGATTGGTGACTTTGAACCACTAACCTGTGGCTCAAACCGACATTGTGGTCCACTGCTTATCCTACAGCACCACAGATTCTAGGAAAGTTAGAGAAGACAAATTCATTTTTCTTCTATTTATAGAAGCACACAGAGGAAATTTATAGATTCAGGTGAGAGACTTCCATCTCTTTACCTGACTTGTCCTGTGGCTTTTCTCACTATGGTAGTCTTTTTCTGTAGTTCTTCTTCCCTGGCCTTTGAAAGGACTACTTAAATTGCATGTAACCCTAGAGTTCTAGTTGTTAATATAAATCATCTTGGTGCATAAATATGTCACTGAGTTAAAAACAAAGAGAATTCTGACTTTCATATGCCTAATCTTGATGGAAATGGTTTTATATATTTTTAGGCTAAAAGATGGTGAATTGTGGAATAAATTCTTTGTGCGGATCCTGAATACCAGTGATGAGTCCACAATGTCTGTTCTAAGGGAACTTGCAGCAGAAATGAATGGGGTATTTGACAGCACATTCCAAAGTCACCTGAACAAAGCTTTATGGAAGGTGGGGAAGCTAATCAGTCCTGGGCCGTTGGTCTGCCCACAAGATAGACAGTCAAGTTGTTCACAGTTTCCTGCCTAAAACAAATGGTATTATGGAACACTGAGCTGTGTATACTATAAGGTAGGACACAGTTAGAGACACTCAATATTTTCTACTTTTTCGTTGAGGTGTATTTCTAAGAAACTGGCTTTGTTTTTGTTTTGTTTTGTTAAAAACACAGCAATGTACCTACTCTGGCCTGGTCTGATTTTAACAAAGAACTGTGTTGTTTTAAATGGACTCCACTTGAATAGGTACCTTCTCATTAACACATTTGTCTTAATTTTCCCTGTACTTTTTCCCTCTTGTAATTTGTGATGTGTATCCATATGACCACCATGTATTTTATAAATAATAAAATAGTATTTGTTAAATTGGTGTTTCTAACATTTCATCTACTTTTTATAAACTAAAGTAAATGGTTTGATTGTACAGACAGAAGATATTTTACCCTAACCAAACCACTGCCAGGAGTAGCTTCCAAGTTGACCTTACAGTCGAACTGCTCCCTAGGGGTTCTGAGATGATAAATCTCTACAGGAAGAGACAGCCTCATCTTTCTCCTGCAGAGCAGCTGGGAGCGTTCAGCTACTGACCTTGTGGTTAGCAGTCTAGTACTTAATCCACTACCAAAGCTCCTTGTATTTTATTGTAGAGATTTATATATCTTAGACTTGGAAGTGTCATGATAGTGTTACAACAGAACAGACTAGTTCACCATTCCTTTAGGAGTTCCAGACGTTTTAATAAGTGGTCTAGATTAATAAGTAGGTAAGATGGTTTACACATAACCATTTTTTCTAACTTTTCAGGTGGTAAATTGTTTATATTTTAATGTTTTTACTTTTATTCAGGAAGCCCTTTGGTCTATTTATATAATCCAGTGGTACTGATATAGCTGGGTCTCTTGATTAGGAATGTGACTGTTAAAAGGAAATGAAAAGGTTTTGAACAGGGTTCAAATGCAGAAAGGCTTGGAGTAGACAAAGGTCAGTGATGGAATAGAAGAGGGTTTTATTTGCTTGGAATACTTGAGGCAGAGGGTTAGAATAAAGAAGTAACTTTGAAGCATAAAACAATTTGGGAAGAAGAGGTCTAGACAAAGTATTAAGTGTCGTGGATTCTATTCCAATTCGTGGTAACCCTGTATAGGGTTTCCAAGGAGCAGCTGGTGGGTTTGAACTGCTGACTTTGCAGTTAGCTGTCCAGTGCTCATCCTACAGTGCCACACCAGGACTCTAGATACAAATATTGGACATCTATATATTAGAAGTATTCATTATACCTGGTCTCTCAGAGATGAGGAAGAATATTGATAGAAAAGGGCAATGAACAGCCCTTGGCAAAAGTATTTAGTAGCCCGTGGTCCTGGTGCCTGTTTCTTTTCCTGCTAATTGTCACTGTTACTGCTCTAAGATTACTGGAAAGCATAAAATCTAAATTCTAAATATATCTCAACTAAAAAGATTTACATATATATAGTTGAAGTACTAAAACATGACTTAACTAACTCTGAAAGATAAATCATCTTAGAGCATTTTATTAACCAAAATATGCTTCAAACATGCTTTTATGTGCTTCTTATATTGCTAATAAAGTTACAGATCATCTATCGTTTATGTATTTTTTTACATGAACTTTTGGAATCTACCTTGTACCTCTCTGATTGCTTTATTTCTTAGTGCAATGCTTTGACAGATAAAGTCATTATTCTGAGGTTGACAGTAAATTTAGATTCTTCCTTAGCACAAGTTTAGCACAATTCTTTCTAACTTGCTTTCGTTAGCAGGGATGACAAACCACTTCAACATAGAGGAGGATTTGAGAAAGTTACTTTATAAGAGAACCTGCCATTATTTTGCCATAAGTCCCACCCCCACCCCACCCCCGTCCCTTCACCCCGACCCTTTTACGCAGAGGAGAGAAAATACCTGACTACTGAGGACCTAAGATGTCTTAGGTTTCCCTTTGCCTAAGCATAAAGCCACAATCTGGGCACCTTCCCATTTCCCTTCTATTTTCTGTGTTTGCCTTGGAAGAAGGTTCACTTAACAGCCTAACGATGTTGAGGGGAGGGGCAGACACACACCACCATATAGCTGAAAAGACAGGGTTTTCACTTGTGTTTGAAAATAGACCGTGGACTATGTAGAGCCTCACCATTCAGAAGAATGCGTGTGGCCTCTAATTTAATACCCTGTTAGAGCCTGCCCCCTCCCATGACAGTTGGATAAGAAATTCTCTACCCAAGTCACAGTGCTCTAACCAGTGCCAAACCTGAGTCTAGACATAAAAAAGCTTCCCTGTGGCAATGGGACTTTAGACTTGGGTTGTACTGTTACTTTAGATAAATAGAAAACCTTTCGGTTATTATTTAATGATTTCTTTAAGCAAGAAAATGTTTCGTTTCTTTGTAGCTAAAAATGAAGAGTTTCTCTTCCAGTCGTACTAATTTTCTGTGCCAAAACTTTACTTCCAGTCTGGCTCCTAAAATTTAGACTAGTGAAGTCTTGGAGCCCTATTGTGTCACTGCAGGATAGGCACTGGACTGCTGACCTCAAAGTTGGTGGTTCAAACCCATCAGCTGGCTGCTCCTTGAAAATCCTATGAATTGGAACCGACTTAACAGCACTTAACAACAGTGAAATCTTAGTGTGTATATATTATTGCTAAGTGTTGTTGAGTCAGTTCTGACCCATAGTGACCCTATATAGGGCTTCCAAGGAGCAGCTGGTGAACTTGAACTGCTGACCTTGCAGTCCAAACCAACTTTGCAGTCGAGCGCATTAACCTACAGTGCCACACAAGGACTCCATATATATTGTGATGGTGGTGTACCATGGAGTCGATTCTAACTTATAGCGACCCTGAATAGGGTTTCTGAGGCCATAATCTTTATGGGAGCAGAAAGCCTCATCTTTCTCCTGCAGAACGGCTGGTAGTTTTGAACTGCTGATCTTGAGGTTAGTAGCCTGACTTGTAACTTCTATAGTTTTGAAGATGGCAAAGTTCAACTTTAGTGTTTAATGAGGTCCTTGGTTCTACAAAAGCAAGAAGCATGACTATTTAATAATAGGGTAAAGGTGGTGTTTCAAATCAGTATGAGAAAAGGTAGACTTATTCAGTAACTGGTGTTAAAACAACTGATTAGAGCTTTAAGTCTGCCTCCAATGCCTCCACTACTTAATATAGCTCTTCTCTGCAAATGGGAAGAAAGACCCTTCCGCTAGGAAATTCAGTACCTTACCAATGGACCATAGCTGCACTGGCTTTCAGCTCCTACTTGCTCCCTCACCACTGGTACACTGAGTACTTGCACAGCATAAACTCAAAATAGGAAAAATGCTTGCAACAAATACTTGCATCATCTTACAGTCGTACTCTATCTCAAGGCCTCACGCTAGTCTGTGTGATCCCCCCACCTACCTCCAGTCATATCATGTCACTTCCCTATTCAGAACCCTCTAGTGACTTCCCACCTCACACACACAGAATCCAAGACCTTGCCATGGCCTGATGATGGTGTTCGGTGCTGTTGAGTTGATATCAACTCCATGCAACAAAGTACTACTGCCCCAAAGGGTTTGCTGGACTGTAATCTTTACAGGAGTCCTGGTGTGGTGCTGTGGGCTTATGCGCTGGGCTGCAAGGCCAGTTTAAACCTCAAGATCAGTGGTTCAAGCTCACCAGTGGCTCCTCGGAAACCCTATACAGGGTCGCAATGAGTCGGAACTGACTCAAAGGCACTGAACAACACCAACAATCTGTGCAGGAACAGATGGCCTGGTCTCTTCTCCACAGAGCTGCTGGATGGCTTCAGAACATCTTTTTGGTTAGCAGCTAAGCAAGAACTTAACCCTTGTGTTGCCAGGACTCCTCTAGTATGGCCTACAAGACCTGACCCCCCACTAGGTTGCTGAAGGCTTGCTTCTGTGACTAGTGTCCTTTGTGCTCATTCCACTGTAGCCCATCCCTCTCCATGTGCCTTCTTAGACATGCCAGCAAATTTTCCTCTTTCTGGCCTTCTACTTGCCATTTCTTGTTTGGAGTGATCTTTTGTAGATCTAGTAAAACTCCAAGTTCTCAGAGAGGCCCTCCCTAGCCAGTGTTTGTAAAAGAGCATCACACACACACACACACACACACACACGCCTTATTTTTTCATAGCATCAGTACCACCTCGCATATGTATATACAGTGAAACCTGTGAGAGCCAGAACTCGACTGGACTGCCTTGCTTATCTGCGCCTCCCACGTTTTCCCCCTTTGACAGGGTGTAGTCTTGCCACTTAACTAGCACTCTCAATTAGTGGGAAAGATTTGTGTTTCCTTACCAGGTCTGGCTTTTGCATGTCTTACTGTATATTTTTTTCTGTATCCTAGAATTTTAGCTCCTAAAAGCTCAAGGGGTTTGCTTTGCTGTTCCTGTCTCAGGGCCTAAATGAATAAAACATGATAAAGGATTGTTTTACCTAACATATAAAGAACTCTTAAAGATAGATAAAGATGAAAATCAATAGAATAGAAAATGGACATGAACAGTCCACTAAAGAAAACATTCTAGTGACCAACATACTTGAGAAGATGTTCAACCTCATTCCTAATTAAATACACATTAGACCAAAAATGCTCATCATTCATACAGTAAATAGTTGGAAATGGTGTTTTTGAGAGTAAGGGGAAATGCACTCTAATATACTACCAGTTGGAATGCAAATTAGTGCTTATTCAATTTGATTATTCCCTTTGAGAATGTTTTGTAAGAATTTATTTTAGAGAAACATTGGCAAAGATTAAGCACTGTTTATAATAGTTGTCCTCCCTACTTCCAAGGCTCATTAGCCTCAGAAGGGACAATCACTTCTGCCTATAATTGATTGGAATACCTAAAATGGGGTTACAATTTGCCCAGTGAAGGAGGCTTCCTGTGGAGCCTCTGCATTGCATAAGACCATAGGTGAAATCCTGAACTCCATCCAGAATCTTCTGAAGTGGGAAATTTCCACTTGAAAGGACAAGCAGACCAGCCTGGAGCAGCT